TCGCGTGTTCCTGCATGTGTATTTTTTTATGTGGGGGGGGGGGGGGGGCAGCGACGCGCTAGCCAGCCAGCCGCCAGCAGGACAGCCACACGCACGCTGCGTGCGCTGCGGCCCGGCCCGTACCACCGCCGCACCCGGCCCTCCCACACCGCACCGCCCCCCATGCCTGCCACCCCCCCACCCCCCCACCCCCAGACGACGGCATCGCCAACCTGCTGCTGTCCATCCTGTCTGACGGCGTCAACGTGGTGGAGCGGGAGGGCATCTCCATCTCGCACCCGTGAGCGGGCCGCCGCCGGCAGCCGCAGCTGGTGCCGCTGCTGCTGCCAGCACCCCCGTGCACGCGTCCTCCTCGCCACCCCGCCCTTCCCCAGCCGCCCGCCAACACACCGGATCCGATTCACCTGCCCCCTCCCACCCTTCCCGTGTCCCTCCCTCCCTCCCTCGCCACTCATTCACTCACTCACCCGCTCACCCACCCCCTCCCCGCCTCCCCTCCCCCTCCCCCGCAGCTGCAAGCCGCTGCTGATTGCCACGTACAACCCCGAGGAGGGCCCGCTGCGTGAGCACCTGCTGGACCGCATCGCCATGACGCTGTCGGCTGACGTGGCGTGGACCTTCCAGGACCGCGTCAACGCCGTGGAGCAGGCCACACGCTTCCAGGACTTCCCCACAGACGTGCTGAGCGACGTGGAGGAGACGACAGACGGGCTGCGCACGCAGGTGCGGCGGGGCAGAGCGGGCGGGGCAGGGTGGGCCGGGGAGGGCTTGCGGCGGCGGCGCGCGATTTTCAAAGCCATGCTGGCTGCGGCCGCCGCGCTGCTTGACTGGCCCTGCTTGCTGGCCCCAAACCGCCCCCACCTCCTCCCCTTCCCCCGGTTCACTTGATTGGTGCTCTGGATACAGCCGCCCTGACAAGCCTGACCTTCACCCAGCAGACGCTTCTAGCGCCAGCTGCTGTGAGCGCCATTGCGCGCTGCACGCGCCTGCGGGCGCTGGACCTGAGCGTGAAACCTTTCCCGGTGCGGGA